TATCTATCTATCTATCTATCTATCTATCTATCTATCTATCTATCTATCTATCTATCTATCTATCTATCTATCTATCTATCTATCTATCTATCTATCTATCTATCTATCTATCTATCTATCTATCTATCTATCTATCTATCTATCTATCTATCTATCTATCTATCTATCTATCTATCTATCTATCTATCTATCTATCTATCTATCTATCTATCTATCTATCTATCTATCTATCTATCTATCTATCTATCTATCTATCTATCTATCTATCTATCTATCTATCTATCTATCTATCTCTCTGTCTCTATCGGCCCCTTACGGCGAGGCTGGCGCACGTAAACAAGCAGTCGAGTAGAGCTGGGTATTCTTACGTGAGAGCCGGCGGAGTTATTGCGTATTGCCGAAATTACGCGAGCCTGCGGCCGTCCCGAGGTTATCGCACGCGACGAAAGTGAGAGGACCGCCGCGGTAGAAGGACGGAGCGAGCAAGAGAGAAAAGGGAGCAAGAGAGGCCCGTTACGGAGCCAAAACGAGTTTGCCGCAGAACAATGCGTGCTGGGGCGCACACACGCGCCCGATACGCGTAGCGCGCTCTCGTCCTGCGCCGGAAGGCATTTCGCAAGGACTCGCGGCCGCTTTGTCTGTTTTCTCGCTTTCTGCAAAGCCCAGCCAGCTAGCTCCTCTTATCTCCGGCGTTCCTCTTTCTTTATCTCCGTGCCCCATTTCGGTGCTCCGTCTGCCTTAATGCATGCCACTGGATTTTTCACTCGACGCTCACGCTAAGTCGGACGTGCGAAATCTTCGTGTGCGAGCGTTGCGTTTGCATTTGCCCGAGTGGGTACCTTGGAAAAACTGCCGAGCTGTCCTCGGACTTTTTAAACGTCCACTTGACCATTACGTTAAATTTTATAATTCATCGGTCCTAATATTATTGGTAAGGATCGTGCCCTTGGAGCGTCGCGTTAATCCTTATATGCCCAGCGCCCGTCACAACGTAGCGTCATCACTTGACTTTGAGCATGGACTTTGTCAAATGAGCGAATGAAACAAACAAAGAAGAAAATAATACAACATTTGTTTCCACATTCTTTCAAATGCGGGCATTCGAGAAGATGAGCCAAACGCAACAAATGGACATGAATAATAGTATACTCGTGTGCACCGCGCGTCGCTTATTGTGACACGAAGATAACTCGCTATTAATCTTCTCTCCTTTAACGCACGCGAGAAACGCGCACACATGCACGCAAACAGATACATAAGTGCATAACGCGGTAATCAGATGAAACGTACAATAATACAAAAATCTTGATAATACATTAATACTTTGGCTATTCGAAATTGTAAGTGCGTATGTTAATTTATGCAAGGAGTTTGAAGAACAGAAATTTTACAAAAACATTTATGGATGTGAGATAGTAAAATGTTTAGTGGAATGTGGTATGTTATTAATATTCTTAAATCTCCGTCGGCATTTAATAGTTAAATTTTCCAGCCAGCAATATCTAATATTATTATAGATTGACTTGCGAAGAAACAGTAACACGTCCGATAAAACCGTTGCTTATAAAAATTGATGTATTATTATTGTTGTTATTATTTCAAGTATTAAATTTGAATCATCCGAACAACTAGAGCCGAAGATTTTTATTATTTTAATTCAATTTTTTTATAAAGTTGTCGCATTTTCAAATAACTGTGAAGAGAATGTCAAGTAAGAGCGCGCAATGACATTCTTATTAAAATTCCCATAACTCCCTGTCGAAGCATAGAATGTCAATGATTAAAAAATCAATGTATTACGATGGATTGAGGAGCATGAAATTGCATTTCTCGGAGTATCGATCGAAGCTAATCAACGTACGGAAAGTCATCAGGGTCGATCGTATGTCTCTCTTCTCTCTAAAGCAGTGACGACGCTCGGATCGCTGAGCGTTTGCCTTACATCCCAAAAGTGCCAAAAATCACGTCCAGCATCCGATTTATTTAATCCCTCCTCCAAATGACCTCGGTCGCGAGTTGCTCGCGACACAACAGCAGGTGAAAGATGAAAATAAAGTTTTGGCGCTCGCGCGACCCACAAAGCCATCGCGCAAATATCACCGTGCCCCCCCTCTCTCTCTCTCTCTCTCTCTCTCTCTCTCTCTCTCTCTCTCTGCCCCTCGTCCAGTCCAGTTCCGTCCCGTCCCGTCCCGTCCCGTTCCGACCACCTTTACGCTGAATAAGAAAAAAAAAAAGATCCCCGTGGAAGCGGTCACAACGCACAAAGTCGATTAAAGGCAGCAGCAGCCGCCGCCACCGCCGCTTCGCTCAGCTGCGCAAACGGGCACAGAGCGTTTTCTCGAGTTTCTCGCAAGAGCGAAAGGCAGCTTTTTACATAATGCGAGCGGCCGCATGACATCGCGCCACTCAAAATCCCTATCGCCGCGACTTGCCGATTTCTCGTTAACGGGAGCCGCAGCCGCTAATCGGGCTGCCTGGCTGCCTGGCGGCTCGCTTTCGCAAATTTTGGATAATTGTCGGGGACAAATCGAAGATAGAGAGAATAGGCTCGAGCGATTACAACGGGTATGCTGGATTTTCTAGCCAAGCTGAGTTGGAGATTTTAGGAAAATCGGAACGTCCGACGGTCCTTTTCACCGGCGCTTTGCCATTTCTACGAGTTTCTGCGGATTATTTACTGTGTATTCGAGTATTAATTTGAGGTCGATCATCGGACGTTCATTATCCGACACTCTCTTTTTCCAGTTTGACCTCAATTTTTAATTATGTTTCATAATTGTAATTAATAATAATTTGCAATCGCAAATTAAGATGAGATATAAGGAATAAATGTTGCATTGATTGGAATGTATTAACGGATGAATGGAGCCCGATATTTCGCAAACCAAAATGCAAATTATATTGGATTGTAAATTAATTGGATCGATCATGAAGTAACAAGCATACCAATAGCAGTAGCGACGACGAGACGACGACGACTATTACTACCGCAACAACAACAACAACAACAACAACAACAACAATGTCAATAATGACAATTGTAATTGTTAGTACAAGTATAAGTAGACCCAATAAATAATATCATTGAGATTAAAAGTATACTGAATTGCAAATTAGATGCATTGGTAAGGAATCAAGGGTACGAAAGACGGAAAATTCTTAAGCGCTCGGTTCGTAAATCTGTACGCAATTTGCCGATTTTCCGATGTTAATTTTTTTTTTTTTTGTAAAATCTTATGAAACGTAAATGTCGTTATTAAAATGCACGTCCATCTCCTCTACGGCAAACCTATCAAATAATTTGTAATAATAATATAATATGTTTAGAAGCAATTTTCATACTTTGTAACGTGTATATTTAATGATCATAGACTGCCAATACTTAAAGGCGCAGATTGTTAATTCGAAATAGGGGAAAAAATTTTGAAAAAGCCAATTGAGACACTTGACTAGCCAATCCAATAGCATCGAATGGCCCACGTTAAAATTGTAATTCGTTGCGTTCGAGAGGATGGGTAAAAATTCATTGAGCTGCCCGTCTGTAACTCAATAAATAGTTTCCCTCCCCACTCCCTCGCCCAAGAGTCCCTTAAACTAGATTGAGCCAAGTGACGGGGAGTGTGGAAAATTAACGATTGGGTAGGTTAGGGCCGAGGTTCATCGCCTCGGATTCATCGTCATCGTCCCGATAACGAGGGCAACGAGGAGGGCACATGTGGCAAGCACATTTTTTTTTCGTTGGAAATCGGACGATCGAGCGACCTTCTGTTGACGGACGACGACCGGGGCTGGCTCAGTGAAACTTGCGCGCGACTGCAAATTAAGCTCGTGCCGGGTTTCGCAATATTCTCGTTTCACGACGCATTTCAAAACTTCCGACACGCCGCAATAAAAACATCGAGCGACATTATCATACGCAAGCACGCGCGCTCGCGCCACCGCAACGCCATCGACGACGCAAGACGAAGTCAACGATCTTTAGGCACACGGCCAATGCTTATGGGACTAACGATTGAAACATGTTCGCGCAATGTTGACGGTTCGATAGTGAATTCGACCTTGTCGAACGAATCTCCGTACTTTGCTTTCTCGCCTACCGAGCGCTCGCCGCCGTTGATTTAGAAATTCATACATTCGTTATTTCACTTCGCCACGGAGCTGCTATTCTTTTGCACAATCCGCTGACACTGCGCTGTACAATTTTGAAATTTATTTTCTTTACGCAAAATTACATGCCGACGATCCAATCCCAGCATCCGCACACAATCGTCTGCCTATTTTCCCTTATTTCCAAACTCGCACCTTCAAATGCTCTTCCTCCCATTCGTCTCGATTCTCCCAACTACCATCCACGTACTTTCACACATTCTTTTTAAGCAGACTTAAGCATTTGTTTGTTGCTGTTGGTTGCAGGAACTAGCACGATTGCAATTAGCAATGCATCGCGCTCGGAATACAAACGCAATCCAGTCTTAAAGTTAAATTAAAAATTATAGACGCTCGATTATTGCGTCTTTCTCGTATTAAAATTATGTGTTTGTATTATCAATATTAATGGGGAGTTAAGCAAAATGTCGCTCGCACTACCATATTTAAATAAATTCATCGCTCACAAGAAGTGCGTAGGGTATGTTATATAAAGTTGTGTGCATGCGCGCGCGCGTGTGTGTCTGATCGTTCGATGACCAAATATGCCAATAGAACGTCAAACATTTTTTATTCAAAGCACCAACAACAATAACAACAATAACAACAATAACAACAACAACAGTAGCAGCAGCAGCAGCAGCAACAACAACAACAACAACAACAACAACAACAACAAACAAACAAACAAACAAACAAAAACAACAGCAAAAAAACAAAAACAAAAACAAAAACAAAAACAAAAACAAAAACATAATAGTAATGAAAGAAAAACAAAGTTAACAAGAAAAAAAAAAAAAAAAGCAAGAAAAATAAAACGAAATGAAAATAAGCGATTATTGAGTGAGACTTACCGCCTTTAACCTCATAGTGCCGCTTTTTTAACGAGCTGTTTGACTTTGGAAAAGGAAACGGATTTTCCCGGCCGTAAATTCGAAGCCTCCCAGTCGAAACCTCTCAACACTGCACTAAGCTCAAGCAAATATTTTACTAGAATCGACTCGACTACTGCTCCGGTTTACCTGCCGACGTTTAATACGCGTCGAGGAGCAGCAAAGACAACGCAACGACCAAACGAGTACAGCTAAGATGCTCTGACTAAAAATTTAATTAGGATTTGCCGGTGAACGGGGAGGAGGTAAGGATGCTGCGACTTTTCGCGACCGAACGCAATGAAAATTTTATTCTGGCGTGCACGGCTGAGAAAAGGAAATGCAATGCGCGTTCATCCGGCGCGCATGACCGGATCTCGGCGCTCCTCGGAGAAATTGTCTAGCGCTGACAGCTGTTCAGGAAATACTGAAACTATCATTCTTAAATTTAGTACGGTTTGCCGCGCGCTCGGCCCATCACCGCCACCACCACCGCCGTCGCCGCCACCGCCGCCACCACCGCCGTCGCCGCCACCGTCACCGCCACCGCCACCGCCACCGTCACCGCCACCGCC